TAAAGTCTATAGAGATCTCCTATTATAATCGTTCTATAAATAGTAATAGTATTAATAGGCTATATAGTTTATATATCTATAGCTTCGTCTTCTAATATATATTATAAGTTTATATTTAATTAATTATATCTCTACGCTAACCTTCCTAGAAGAAGGCGTTCTATAGCTATTTTAGTATTCTTCTTATACTAAGGTACCCTACTATAGTATTATCGTAATATACCTCTAGAATCTCCTTCTATAAATTTATATCCCTAAGTATATATACTATATTATTAATCTATACTAGCTTATTATAGCCCTAGGTCTAGATACCCTATAGCCCGTATCGCTTTTCGACTCTTATACTTAGTAGTAATATATATCCTTACGCCTTAATAGATACCTCTAACCCTTTACTTTTCTAATCTATTATAGATTCTATTCGCTATTTAATAAAGACGTCTCTCTATTACGTAGTCCGAATAGCTTCTAATAGTAGGCCGCGGAGTTAGCTATCTACGGTTTTAGACTTAACGCCTTATACTAGCGTAGTCTCGAGAGGTATAGCTTAGTTAGCTTTACCCCTTATAGTAGGCTTAAGTAATAAGCATAGTATTACTATATTATAGTACTCTTAGCTCCCCTAGCTAAGAGCGGATTTCTAATTATTAAACTCTTATAGGTTCTTACTTAAACGCTTACCCTTCTACTATACGCCTTTAGCTATAGATATATAACGCTATATATAAAGCCTACGGATTCTCTATAGTTCTAGTATAATAACCCTTCTAGCTCTTAATATATATATTCCTCCTATAGCTATAATCTATAGTTATATCTATAGCTTCTCTTATAATAATATTAGTATATCTTCTATAGCTCTAGGGTTTACTTTTATATAGTCCGGTTACTTAAATAATATATCTATACTATTATTCTTCCTAGAGTAGAAGACGATATCTAGGTTAACCGTACTAAGTTCCTTAAGCTATTATAGCTATTATATATTAAGCCGTTTCTTAGTATCTAGAAACTAGAGGTTAAAGTAGTCCGTTAGCGCTTATATCGGCTACTACGGATATACTAAGTATTACCTCTAATTCCGTAAAGTATCGATAATTATTAATAGCTCCTTTTTACTTATATTATAGCGTTACTCTATATCTATTAACTTATATAATTAGAACCCTATAAAGTACTAGCTATTATCGTACTTCTATAGTAGGATTACGCTTATCGCCCTTTTAGAAGTATTAATCTCTAATCTTATAAAGAGGTATAAATCGAAGTACTATAATAGTAAAGCGCTAATAAAAGCTTCTATTAATTAATAAAAAGCTTTATAGTTTACTTCCGATAACGTTAAAGGCCTTTTCCGACCTCTATAGAGTTCTATAGTTAGCTTTAATATAATATAGGAGAAGTTACGAATAAACC